TGCGTGGGAAAAAGGAAGACCGGTAACAGTTGGTATTTGATTGTAGTCGAAGATATGGCACTTGGCAGTAGGGGTGAAGTGGAGATATCGACAACACCGTGGACAATTTTGTACATAAGCGTCGGGCGGGCTATCGCCCTACGCTCCTCAAGCGACTGCCAACCGATGTTACTAATTATATTCGTCACGCTTGACTCTCCACGCTAGTCTCCACTAACAAAGCGAGCTGCTCGTCGTTGTACCTTCTCAAGTGATACGATGTCACCCTTCTTGTAAGGATCCCAAATCGGGTTACAGTGTTCAAGCTGCGGTCTTACCAGAACATGATTTCAGGTTACGGCGCAGAAAGCTAAGAGTCGTATTTGGTGGTAATTGAGTTGATAGGGTGACTCCAGTTTAAATCGTTAGACAAATCAACTCCTAAATAACTCTGTTTGGTAGATATCTCCAGGGGTGTGTCTTGTAAGTAGTATAAAGTTCCTATAGAATGTTTCTTGCGGGACATGTGCTCGGGGAGCAGGGTTGGTGTAGTGGTGAGAGCGCTCGCCTTCCACCAATGTGTCCCGGGTTCGATTCCCGGACCCGGCGTCATATGTGGGCTGAGTTTGTTGGTTCTCTACTCTGCTCCGAGAGGTTTTTCTCCGGGAACTCCGGTTTTCCCCTCTCCTCAAAAACCAACATTTGATTTGATTTGATTTATTTGATTTACAGTCTCCCCAATTAGTACAGCACTCGTGCTCGGCTAGAATGATTTGAGACTCAAATAAAGTTATTATTATTATTATTATTATTATAAAACTTGGATTTATTAAATTCCATCTGCCAGTCGCTCTCACAGTCACATAAAAGTGACAGATCTTCTTGTAGTTTAAGGCAGTCATTTGGGGAACTGGTTATTCTGTAGACAAGACAGTCATCTGCAAAGAGTCCCATTTGAGTGTCAATGTTACCATGTATATCGTTGATGAAGATCAAGAATAATCATATCGTCTTCTCTCTCGAGGCATCGAGGATATCGATGATGCGATATCCAAAGAGTGCCCTGAACGCTTGTGGTGGACCGCCACTGCCGTTGTTGCCGATCTTTTGATCACAACGTGTCTGAGTGTTGGATCTCCTTATTATACCCCGCCAGGAACGCATAAAGGCTTATGGATCCCATAGTGTCAAACATCGATAGTATTTCACACCCCACGGCTAGGTACTTGGCGGACATCCTGAGTCCAATGGTCGCTAACACGTACACATCGTCATGTGAAGAACAGCGCCGATGTTGCTTCCAAACGTCGGGACCTAACCGTGACACCGCGGGCCAGAATCTAGTTTCTACAGCAAACATTAACAACAACACTACTCGTCAGCATGTTCTACACTCTCATGAAACAATTACTTAAATTAGCCAATAACAATCCTTTCTAGAATGGGCCAAATGATTTGGATGGTTGAATTAGACAAAAGCTGTCAAAGCAAAAGCTATTACAAAGTGAAACGAGCGAAGTTAGCGTTATGTGAATTTGAACTCAGACGGAAAGTACCTTGTTCAATTGAATCCGGCTTAATTATGTCCAGTTAAAATCTAGACATCATCAACTTGGCAACTGGAAAACAAACTGCTCAAAGCTTGTTGTTGGAACTTGACAAACTGCTGCGCAGTGTTGAGCTAAGAATGAACAAAAGCCGTGTTCACAGCAGCGATAGTAACATTCTGGCCTCCTTTTCTACACTGTTTGTTTATATCTTCAATCCTTCCTGGATGGTTCTCAGTGGCCTCGTCGTGGGTCATTGGAACATATTCTTGTCCGCTTTCGTCTATCAAGAACTGGAAGCTTTCCTTCGACAATTCTCGTTGACCTTCGCGGCCTCGGCGACACCAGTACAAGCTAATATGGAGCCAGACATTTCGCAGAAGACCCCAAGGATTGTCTCCCCGGATTGCATTTGATGACTTTAACTTTTTTAGGTCAGCTGCTGTAATTGAAGGTTTGTGTTTAAAGCGTTTTCATAGTTCTCGCGTTTATTTCGCTTTATCTGACTATGTAGGAGCTTCTTAGACGATTGAAACTCGGTGTCTTTTGTAATAGAATTCCTCTTATTTATCAATGTGAGTCCGCAAACTAATTATAAACTATACACTTTCATTAATTGTTTTTGCAAAAAAAAAATATATATATATATATATATGTATCAAGCGAGGGTTTCCATATTTATGGTGTTAAAACTGTATTTATTTTACTTTTACAACCAAACACTTACCCTCAAAAACTTGGGCAACCCCTTTGGTGTTGTCAATGGTATTTTTTTGTTTCTGCTCTCGTGATAAGTTCTTCTACTGAGGCGCTGGACTTGCAAGTTTTTGTTGGTTTTTGTCACCACTTCGCTCGGTGTTTCTGTTGGTAACTTCATCGGAAACTCCACTTTCAATAAACGATCCACGAGTTGTTCGCACTATCATTGACAGTATATTCTATATCCATTGAAGCTAACATTGAAGCTAAAATGAAAACCCGAGAGAAAAAATCGCGAGTTCGTCTGCCATTTCATAAATATTAGCAGATGGCATGACAACTTTTGTTACGTGTTTTATAATGTCATAAACCACGCTTTCTTAACCAATCAGAGAGCGCGCTATTTCTGAACTTCAATATAAATGGAGTCTATCAGAGGCATTCAAAATAAGACTTCTTCTTAGTGAAAATATACTCATTACATACCGAATATATCGACCTTAATCAGAGTGAATGGCCTGATAACGCGTTACAAGCCACTTAATGAAAGTTACAATTTAAATTTAAATGCATGTCACATGCTACACAGAGTAAGGACTTTAAGAACGTACCTTGCGCTGCGCTTAAGAAAAAATACTCGCGGAATTTGGGACTTTATACAGATAAACATCTCAATTGGCAACCACAGATACAACACGTAAATAATGAATTAGCTAGAAGTATACGAATCCTTTCAAAACTAAGATATACACAGTACATAGATTTCAATATACTGAAACAAATTTATTATGCTTTAATATATCCCTATTTGAGTTACGTTGTCCAGCTGCTTGGGGATGTGCCAGAAAAACTAAGTTAGATTGTCTTCGTATTAAGCAGAACAAATGTCTCCGCACCATCTTCTTTATACATCCTATTTCAAACTTCTAACAACCCTTTAATTAGATAATATACATAAATTAAAAATATGCTGCGTTATACATAGAATGAGAAATGAAATTGATAGCATTCCCCATATCTTCCTTGATGTCCTAAATCCAGCATCGCATATACATAATTATAATACAAGATTTGTCAGTAAACTTAATTATTTTAGGCCAAGGGTATCCACCAACTTACGTAAGATGTCCTTTAAATTCTCTGCTCCAAAAATCTGGGAGACTTTACCGCTTGGCCTCAAGGGTCTGCCATATCATAAGTTTAAGAAAGAATGGAAGTCCTATCTACCAATCAAATCTGATCTTAGCTAGCCTTGCTTATATGTTCTATCACTAATATTATTTGAAATTTTTTTCCTCTCTTGCTGCTACCGATTATCTGAACAAGACGGTGTCCAACAAGAAAGCTCCTGCTACTTTGGACATTGTACACAAATGAACTTAATGTCTTTTAATGATTATTTATCAGCTATTCTGTTCTCCTTCTTACGCACACTTTTGTAAATGCCTTATATAGTGTGTATAAAGAAACAGTAAGAGTAAGATTAACGAATATAACCTAGTGTTAAAACGTCATCTCCTCCGTACATGAGGTTCCTGTTTTAGCTGAAACTGTACTCCCACTGTCCCTCCTTGTTTACCAAATAACTTTCATGCTCACCCTACCTATTAATTGTAAAGTCAAATCCTCCAGACCATTGTGACCCTCACTATGAAAATGTTGATATAATATATAGATTTAGCCACGGCTAAAAGCGAAGTCCCATTGATAAATTTATAACTTAAATCAAACAATAATTTTGTATTCCACAAATCAGTTAACTTAAGAGCACATTCATGTGACTTTTGAGGGAAAAGCTCAGTGATTTTGGAGTGAAACAAATCTTGTATCGAGTTGATATGGCCCTATATGTACACCCAAAAAGGTGTACGGTCACATTTAAGAGCAATGATGGCTCTTGATCACAGTAGATAAGGCGTGGAAAACAAATTCTTGGAAAACAAATCAGGCCGAATTTTTTTGCGTTCGACAAGTATACAAATTCTTGCCAATAAATCTGGGTGCGTCCACATCTGAGGAGAAAGAGTACTATGAGGCGCTGTTTTTATCATACAGACCTCGTACAAAATGCAGTATTTCACAATTTTTCAAGACAAATTGCATTCATTCAATATTCAGGAACATCGAAGCACGCGTGGACTTTTAATTAGCGAAACCGTTCAAAAAATTTCCAAAATCACCTATACGGCCAGCCAATTCTAACTTTTGACAAGCGCCAAATTTGCGAAGAAATTTTAAAAAAGTTACGCTTCAACGTGATAAAGAATTTATTGAGTCTATTTTTTATTAATGGTTTTATAACGATGTGTAACCTTAAAAAGCGTTTGACACGCTCGGCATTTTGAGTACTCCTGCAAGCGATGTTTATGAACGGCTGAAAACAAACGGCAAAGCAATGAAAATTACATTTTTGAGACTACCAACAATCAATAAAGAAATATAATTCGGTAGAACATTTACAGAGACAACAATTTTCATTCACGAAAACAAATGAGTATTTAAGTGTCTCTAAGAATCCTCAAGTCTTTACTAGTAAGCTTAAAGATTAGGTTTATGTTTTAAGCCGCCAGTTTCCCGGGCCTGTTTGCTGTTTTCAAGATGAACTCACGACAAGAAAATCGCTCAAAGCTTTCTTTCTACAGCCAAAATTATAACTAAATATTCTTCGGAAAGTCTTTTCTTTCTATTTACGGTGAATTAATATCGACTAAAGGCTTTTTAAAGTTCTGTAAGCTTGAGCTTATATCAAACCTCATACTAGGTTAGATCAGTGTCTCAGTCAAATCTTAATACAAACGTGCATAAACTAGCTTCCTAAACTGCGCCGCTGGACTTCATGAAATTAGATATAAATAAAATAATTACTCAGGCTTACCATATTTCGAGATGCAGCTCCTGAAAGCTATCAAGTAAGGCAAGGATCGCTTGAGCCTTTATATATCTCGCACTCATCCAGCAAGTTGAAAAACAAAACTGATGCCATCCGAAATCGGATTATCGGCTTTGACAAGTGACGCATTTCTCAACCAAAAACCCAATAAATAAGAGAACACTCTTTATAGCAGCTGTATTTTATTTTGTGCATCCAGTGGAAAAAGACAGTTAAAAACATCACAAGTTGACTCAAAACTCTGTCAGCTTCAGGTGTCAAAGTAAACAACTTTCAAGATGCTGCATAAATTTTACGCATGAACTCACCTGTCAAATTTTAACCAATCAGAGCATAAAAAATTGGATGTGGAGCGTGACCAACACGTGACCATGTTAAGAAAAGGTCTTCCCTTCCCCGCCTGTATTTTAAAAAAAACTGGCTGAATTTTTGCGTCTGAGGTCAGTTTGACATCAAAATCGTAATAATGCGGGGCGATACTGACATATAAGCACAACATATTTGATATGAATTTAAAAAAAAGTAAACGTAAGCCTGCGATCATTTGAAAACGAATAAATTGTCAGCGGATAACTTCAAAAATACTCGACCTTGATGGGTCGACACCTGAGCCCGCGATACGGTCAGTTGATACTGGTCAACGGATACCCTGTTTTGACAGCTGTCAATTGATGACAACATTGATGTGCAATCAGCTTTCTCCTGGGCTCCCAAAGTGGCTAGAAAGTGTGAGTAAACATTGGTATGCCTGTGGTGCGGACGGACGGTCGCTCGGTCGCTCGGTCGGTCACGTGATTACCAAATTTTCTGGGATTGGTAGATTTATTTACCCATGGTGCTCCGCTATTGAATAATCCCTAAGTTTGAAACTTTGTGAGAGTCTCATAGAGTCTCATATGCGCTCTCATACCACTCTTGTGATCGTTGAGGCGTAGCCTAAACCTCGTGTTGCTAGACCCTAGTACTGAAAGCGTCATACTATACAAGAAGGAAAATACACAACATTGCTGGAGTTACAATCAAGCTCACCGTTGATGGAGTGTGTTCTTCCGGTGCTTTTCAATGTGACCGTGCTCCCAGTATGAGGTTGTTTGCACACCTGGCCCCCGTCTACCCCCCGCACCTTACTGCCGCAGCTTTCCTCAAGCCCCCATCTCCTTTCCCTACGCGAACCTGTCTTCTTTGCTGATGAAAAAGTGCAAAATCAGGGTTTGCAATTAATTGATTATTATCTGATCCTCTGTCTGACGATTTAAAATGCCTGATGCGCTTTATGCTAAATATGTGACTATCACATCACATGTATATAACGAGCCCTGATGTCACATACCCCACATATCTGGAAATTCTCGTCAAGAAATAATTAGCATGATGTTTATAGAAAAAGAAATCAGTAGACCTGCACCGTTCTAAACCTCTTATTTCACTGGTCCCCTTCAATTTTGCACTTCCATTGTTTTCAGTGATAGGGGCATTGTTATGTGACCATCCCTATTGTTTTCCCAGCAAATCACAAACAATCTTTCAAATAGGTGCTGGCAAAGAAATGTACAGAAATGCAAGCTTCAAAACATACTTTGGTAAAGAACGTTCAAATATGGTGGCTTCATTTTGTAGGATCGCCTTTCTTGGTGACAAGCGCGTTAAACAAGATCAGTCGCAATGCGAGGACACCTATAGCGAGAACCAACAGTCAAAATTAGAGGAGGAATTCTCATCCTTTGTTGACGGAACTAGGGTGGATGCATGCGACAGGTTTCGTGAGATATATAAAACTAAGGACCAAATTACTGACGTTCACTGCCAGCGATTGGCCTGTCTTATATTCGAGGTGTGTAGTAATTCGTGTCTCTATATTGACCTCAGTAATAAAAAGAAAAAAAAGAAAACTAATGTCCACTCTGTGACTGAAACTTTCATTGAATATAATTGCCTGCATGGCATTATAACCCAACAGAGGTGTGTTGGAATCACAGAAACTGATACAGATCCGAGACTCTTGTAATTCTAATCCACGCGAAATATCCAACAGTTTGTCTTCATGTGGCTAAATGAAATTATTGTCACGTGATAAATCTAAGCCAGCTAATAGGCCACTTCCGAGTTCCAAAAACCCTCACTTTCAAAATGAGGCCAAGAGCACAACCTTTCTTGTGGAAATGCGTTTTATTTGCATGAGAATGAAAAATAATGTCCATATCAAAGGCTGAGCACTTAAGCTCGTTTTGATACAGAGGCCTGGGGGAACTCGGAAGTGGCCTGTTTGCTAAAGATTATAAGAAAGAGTCGAAAGCTACATTGTTTGTATGACTTTATTAACCTTATTAATCAATGCTTTTTTATTAAAATTTGTGTTCTAATTGTCATAACAGGCGTCATATGAACGAATGAATGGAGCAAAAGAAGCCTTAGTTGAGTCCTTTAAGGAAGTATCTAAAGGCATGATAGAATGCGCTCCAAACATCAGTTTCATGTTTACTAGCAACGAAAATTTGGAGAAGGTAAGTTTTAGCCATAAACGGTTCTGAGTTCAGCCCAGTTTCGGCAGCCGTAAGTAACAACTCTCCGTTGGAAAAAGCATTATAATTAGAGCTCGCTGTACTTTAAGAGGAAGAGTGGGGTGGGGGAATTCTTCGTTGTTTTCTCGGGGCAAGACACCTAATAAAGATGAAAAATGCTGCAAATGAACTTTCTCTTAACATAATTAAATCCTTTCAGTTTTCAAGTTCTTGCCACAGCTTCATATTATAGCTGTCACGTGTTTGGCTAGACAGTGTTCATAGTTAGAGTTGTTTCAGTTCTTCTATTTCTTTGCTGAGCCCTTTTATTCCTTTCTTACCGTTGATTTTATAAAAACAAGGATTTTTATTTACTTCTGGCACCTCTTAGGTGAACTCTGACTTAACCAAGAACAGAAACGGCATCTTATAGTTAAGGCATCTTTCTTCTGTAAAAGAACCTACACTGAGATCCTCGTTAAACTTTCCCAAAGTTCAAAAATCAGTTAGAGGTGCCTCTTTTCCTAGCTGCATAAACTCTTTGAAGCTTCAAGTGCAGCCAATTCTTTCCTTTTTGGCGCTGCTGCCATCTTTAAAAAAAAAATGTGCAAATGTACGAATAGCCTTGCCACAAGTCGACTGCGTAGGCGCTGAAGGCGCGAGCGAGTGCGAGCGACGTAAGTCGCGAGTCGACTTGTTGGCGCCAAAAAATGATTCGTGACGTAAGTTTGACACCCGTTTGACAGCCCGCTGAAATACACAGTTCTGCTACGACTCTGAACTCTAAGAAAACCGTTTCTCGGAAGGTCTTTCTCCAAAACGAGATCGAGACTTTTAGCTTGTTATTTTAGCTTTTTTTTGTTAATAATAATAATAATAATAATAATAATAATAATAATAATAAAAAACATCAAGAAAGTATCAGAAAGAGCTAATATGACAGAGATTCAAAAGATCTGCATGCTGGGATCTGCACGAATCCTCAGAAAGGTGCTCAGTGTATGAACAGAATGATTGACTTGAGTGACTGACGCTCTAGGTGCATGGTTTGCGCCCGGCTGATGCGCAAAAAGAACACCAGCAAAGACTGTGATAATAGACAATAATAATAATAATAATAATAATAATAACACTTTATTAACGTGTCAAACAAAAATCTAGCGGAGGGGATTCCCCACTGCTAATAGGGGAAACCTAACTTTCAAAACATACAATCTCAAAATACAAAACGAATCCATATAGAGTCGAAACTAGAATCTACTAAGAGTTAGAATTGAAACTACTAATGACATCTCACGAACATACATACTACAAAAACTCCATTTATACTTATCAAAATTCTAAAATCTTGTAATTAAAATCGTAATTAAGAAAAGTTAAAATTACGAATTGCAAAGGTAGCAGCCACTACATCCATCTAAAATATTACTTAAATCAAGACTGGGTATCCGGGTCTTAAACTGCTTAAGACTGGCAGCTAATCTGTTCTTGCTTGGTATCTTGCTGCAAAGTCTTGGACCTAGGTATCGAACTGAGTGTTTTCCGTGCGTAACTGTGGTACCAAGTGGCAGTATGTTCAATGTGGGAGAATAGCTGCCTTAAAGAGATGTAATTTGGCCTCAGTTGGTATTAGATTCCTCAGCCTCATTATCACACCTATTCTCTGGCTAGCTTTCTTACAAACATTACTAATATGCAAATTAAAATTCAGACCACAATCAATAGTTACGCCTATAGTCAGGTCTGTTAGGATCAGGATCGTTTCAGAGTTGACAAAATCACCAAATTTTGCACAGTGATAGCTTATTGCAGTACCATGAATATTAGAGGGGGTGCCCAATGCAAATATGCCACTGAAGCGTGCTAAACAGGATTTAGTTATTGTAAATTTCACCTGCTGGGGTCCCTGTGATGTTTTGATTGAAAATTGTTATTTAATACCTTAAATCACTCAGAGTACTCTTCTCATGTTGTAAACAACAATCACTCGAACATTATTAGCTTATTGATTGTATGATTAAGTTGATTATTACTGTGCCTTTAAAGCAAGTCCACAGTCCGCCCCATTTTAGTAAGTCATTTCTAAGATTCTCTTCTCCTTTTCTAATGTATTTCAATTAGAGGAAGCTTTATTGTGTGGCTTAAGCCTTATTTATCAAGTATTATTTGTCATTACATGTCACTTTAAGCTAAAGAAAGCTTATACACCCAATTTTTCAGAAAAAAAGAAATTGTAAAAGAGTCTGTTGTATCACATATTGTCAGGGATATATGACAGCTGCTCATGAACACCAAATAACGAAATGACAGAACCCAAAGTAGTTCTTTCTTAAGGGGGTAATTAATTTTTCAGCTTAACATAGGCCTGGATGCCTTACAGTCTTTCTTTATCTGCTGGACGCACGTGCATGTTTTGACAGAGAAGCAAGCATCGTGGCACAAGTCATATCATTTATAACTCCCGCAGTTTGCCTAAGCTTTACAAAGCAAAAACAAACAAAAAAGAATCTGGTCTCATAAACGAAAAAAAGAAACAAGTTAGCCCAAGCTTCAAGAAACAGCACATTTTATCATGAAGCCTCTACATTTGGCACTGAAGCACTAATGTCCAAAAATAATAACAGCTAATCAAGTCGTAAAAGTGAGAATCAAATGGTTCAAGATTGACTAAAATGAAAAATGGTGAATGGTTTAAATGCTGAAACTGTAGAAGGGGGGCCGGGCTAACTTTTAGGGCCTGTTTACATGGAGGAGGGGGACCCCAGGTAGGCATGGTAACCCACTTAGGTGGGGTAACCCTCCTGTCCATGTAATCTCTCATTTTAAGTTGATCACGTTCACATGATAGGTGGGGTGACCCTTCAAGGTGGGTAGCCTGGTCTGCCACACCAGGTAACCCTCTCACGTTTCAAGGTGAGCTAACCCAGGCTATTCGGGGTCGGATTCCTGATATATCAAATTCGCGCAAAATTCACTTTGGTGCCGGGTGACTTCACATAATTATTGAAGGTAACAATAGAAAGCCACAACATTTTGCCAGCATTTTTCTTGTTTACATGCTTAGGGACCATTCAGTAATCTTGAGGAAGTGCACCCCAGGAGGGCGGGGTTGTAAGATTGCATGTAAAGGAGGATTATTTTTTACCTCACCTACCGGGGTCCTCCACCTTTATGTTAACAGGCCCTAAGTCTCAGGAACCGTGGAACTGGTAATAAACGGTATACCTAACGCGGGACTAGCTGTGATACTACTTCCATCTTCAAAAACGTCAGCATAGCAGCCAAAGGAGTCATTACATCGGTGTAACACGAATATAAGATTGCGGTGGTTTCATGCGTCTCGTTTTTTGACTTTTTTGTCTTCATTTTTATCACCATCCCTAAATTTCAATCATGTTCAAAACACCCTACATCCTACCCTTACTAACAAAATATTTTGTAAATCTCTTTAGAATGATATTCAGCAATAAAAACAAGGTGTGACCAGGAGTCGATTTCTAGGCTCCTGGTGTGGCAACATAGGCATAAGTGAATGCAAAGTTTTGCAGTATGTAATCTGTCAGAAATCTGTTTGAGTGGTCAAAGTTGGGGCTGATGGTTTTTTTACCATGACCACTCCATTATTATAAGGGACCAGGCCATAATTATTGTTGACCCTTGCTTTTTTTGGTATTTTCTGTAATTTACCCCAGCAATATTTGGGAAAGGTGGTAACTGAATTGCTCTTGAGGAATTCATGATCGTAAGATTTCGTAACCACGGGGTATTCCCCTAATTGCATTAAAAAAATAATACATTCATTTTCATAAATGATGCATCATTGGTTGGCTAAACGAGGCCTTGTTCCTGTAACTTTCAGCTCTTCTGAAGTTAGTTTGTTTGTAAATTGTAACAAACACGACGACCTTCCTTTTTTTTGGAAGATTGTATAGACCTAGCTACCATCAACACTCTGGTGCGAGGGCTCTGAAGTGAATGAGCTCTTTACAGGTGTCTAGGCATGAAAGGAACTCATACACTTCTTTTTAAATGTAAATGTGTGAAAAAAAATAAAGAGTTTTGAAAATTCCTGGAGAGGCATGTTTTAAATCCTCGTCCCCAGGTCTTAATAAAAAGGTAGAAAAAGGTAAAGCGACCATATTTTATGTCTATAACTCGTAAAGGTAATAATAACTGGCAAACCAGGTGGACGGTGCGCTCCTTTTACCCTCCTCTCTCCATTAATGCTCCGTTTTAAGGGTATTTAAAGCTAGTCAAAGCTACACAGAAATGAGAGAAGCTGAAATAAGGATGTGTTGACAACGGGGATCGAACTCGGGACCTCGCGCACTGAAGGCTGCGCACTAGCCAACTGTGCCACCCTTTCTCCTCCTTTTCCCCGTGAGGACGAGGTTGACATGTTTTAATGACAGGGCTACCAACAAAGCAAATTATAATCTTATCTTAGCTGCACAATTACAAATTTGGGCGCGTAGTGAGTCATGGTTCATGAGGTCATTCATGTGGCATGTCAAAATTTAACGATTCTGTCGTTTAGGATATGATACATTTGGGTTTTACGTTATTGTATGACATCTTTGAAGACTGGCTTTGTGATCTGTTTAAATTGATATGTAATGATATTATCACTGGCAAGTCTTAGCAGTGACACTGATAGCCACACAGTGAACATGGCCAAATTTACCGTGTGGAGACTGGGCACTAGTCAGTGTTATGTACATGTAAAACTATTTTTAATAATAGTGTAACAACAACTAAACATTACCAAATTAAAAAGTTAAAAATTTGAAACAAATGTTTTTTAGTCAAATCAAACAAGAAGAGTACACACCACAGGAAACCCAATCTGCCATTATAGGTGAAAGTTAACCCACCCTTTTATCTGTTATTAGGACCATTTGTGACGGACACCCCCTCCAGTGTTAATCGGCAGGTGCTAAGGAAGCTCTGTGCCAAATTTGACGCTTTTGTCACGTCTGTAACGATCCGGCCTATATTTTGCATTAAGAGACCTGACTACTAGGAGTTCTAAATTGTCTGATTCCATTATATCTTTGCCATTGACAGATATACTTGTCTTGTCATCATAGTTCACACTTTTATTCCGAATGTTCATCGTTTAATATTTTTTCAGGTTTCCCTGAAGAAGATTCGAATCGTACCAATTAGTTGCCAGAGTGGCACTCTCTTGAAGTTTCGCGACAATAGTGCACATGTAATTTCCTTTCATGTAGATCTGGTGATCGTCCGCGTACATTGATAGCCCAGAATCTAAGTTATATGAATCTAAGTTATATGATCGTTCTGAAATATGTTCCATAGAAGCGGTCCTAGTACCGATCCCTGAGGGCAACCTCGTTCCACATTTCTTCATGAGCTAGTTACCGATCCAATGCGCACTCTAATTTCAGGTGTGTTTGCAGAATATTTTTTCTTAATTACCAACCTCTCTCTCAAAACGTAAGTGGAAGAGAGCTGAATATTTCTTTTTGGTGGCAAAGAGTTTATTACATAAAAAAGTTAATTGCTTTTATTATGACTATATAAGAAACGGAGGCTTCGCATTTAGCTCTGGCTAAATCAATATATTTGGATAGGTTTGGGAACACTAATGTGGGGGCCGTAAAGTCTATAATGTTATTTTTTTATACGTTTAAAGAAAAAGATAGACAGGATAACAATCAGTATTGTCCTTTTCGACAACGTTTTAAATGATCTTTGTTTTATTTTATATGAGTTGATATCACCGATTTTTATTCCAGGCCAAAGGAGAGTACCGGTACCCAAAGCCTTTCGAAGTGCGATTTTCTGTGAGCCTCATGAGGCAGAACTCGAATTACCCAAGAGATGTTGTTGATGCTTTAATGCTGGCTGTAAAAGAAACTGCTCACGACTGCAAACTTGACTGTTTTGTTGAGGTATTTTGTCTTACGCTTAAAACTTTTTTCAAAGTTACTGTTAATCCTCTTTGTACCGGGAATTTTTGGCGCTTCCTGGGACTACCAGTCCAGGCAAAAAAAAAATATAAATAAATAAATAAATAAATAAAAACAGGTCAGCCTGTTACTAGTTGCAACAGAAAACTTTCTTTAATACATTTGGTCCAGAGAAACTACCTTCGATATATCAAAGGTCGCGGCAATTCCAATTGGGGGAAGTTGACAAAAACAGGGTTTTTTTTAACAACCCTAGACGCAACATGTAAACGAGGCTGGATGCCTGGATTGCCTTGTCGTGTGACTGATATGCCCCATATCCCACATATACTAACGTAAAAAATGAAAGAGTATGTTGATATTACTGTCATTATACTGTGTAATTAAGTCCAACTGCATGTCAGTAATTAACAATTAATGAATGAGGCTGAGTATCTTATGAAGAATTATGGAGATCGAGGAGGGTGTTATCCGTCGAGGCGGTAGGCCGAGGCGGATAACACCCTCCGAGATCTCCATAACTCTTCATATGATACGAAAGTCGAATTCAATAATTGTTTGATTATTCATTCAAAATAATTCCTAGTTTAAAAACATAGCAAAAACAAGCTTACCTGCATCGATGTTAAGCCGGTTTATCTTCGATAGTTTACGTTTAGGTTTGTTCAGCTCCGCAAATATTCTCCAAATAGCAGATGTCGCCCTCCGAGTTGTCTTCTTGCTGTTTTTGCTATGTTTTTTGCTATTATTACGCCTAGTTCCAGCTGTAGTTTTTACTCTTGAGACGAGTGAAGTGTCCGCCATTTTTATTTTCACCAACCAAAACAACTCAGTCTCGTTCCCACGGTGCCTTAACATGTAAGAACGCTGCATTTTTGATGTCATTCTCTCGTTAAAGTCAAAATTCTTCCAAATTTGGTCATCAGTAACTGGTTATGGTGAGTTATGCGTGTGCTTTTAGCCGATCAGAATTGGGGAAATATTTTGAATGAATAATAATAATAATAATAATAAATAACTGTTCTTTTCATTCAGCACAACGTCACAAACTAAGCTTACTCCTTGGTTATGTGGGTGAAGTTTAGAGATTCCAGAAAGTGTGGTTGCCTAAAAGATGAACTGTGAAATAGCTTTTACCTAAAAAAAGGTTATATCGCACTCACGTTTTGATTTCCGTCTGTTCCGTATGTAATAGTGTTATGTGTTTATGTGTTATGTGTTATGTGTTTTATGTGTTTTAAAACATTTCAATAAAATCTTTTCGTTTATAAGTTTCAGAGCACCAGAACTGAAAGTAAAGAGAAAAGAAAACAAACAACAACAACAACAAATTCTCCTCAGATATTTTAGCTTTAGTAAAACCGGATTATGTGATAAGAATTGCACTTCGGTCTTGATCTCTTCCAACAGGGTAAGGCCCGGTCTTTTAGGCGACGGAATTAGAATTTGATCTGTTTTTACCTCATTGTTTTCACCTATTTTAACATGAGAAAGTGGCACGCAGAGATGTGATCAGAAATGATCGATCAGTGGTGGCCATTTGTTTATTTTAAGAATTGTTCTTTTAATAGCGGGGCTCCCGCGCGCGCGAAGCGCGCGTGGGACAGAGCCCCATACTCATGGAATATGGTCAACCTCTTTTCGTTTGGTTGTCACGTGATTGACCGAGCGTACGTACGTACATTCGTACGTACGCGTCTACAGATTGTACGGGTGGGGTACGGGAGACTATCAAAAGGAAGGGAGGGGTGTCTCAGGCGTGTCTTGGCAAGTCCACATCTTTAATATAGGATTTTAGGACATTCAAAATATGGTCAATTGACAGCTGTCAAAAAAGGATAGCCACTGACCAGTATCCCATGACCATATCGCGGGCTCATGTGTCAACTCATCGACGTGACGTGATTTGTTTGGAACCTGTCCGCTGACCAGTTAATTGTTTTACTAGATCGCGAACAATGTTCAATCTCATACTTTTACTAGTTAAACTGATAATGCACACATATTGGACATCAATGTTTTGATCAATTGACAGCTGTAAAAAGCAGGGTACCCGCTGACCAGTATCACTTGACCGTATCGCGGGCTCAGGTGTCGACCCATCGAGGTCAAGTATTTTTTGAAGTTATCCGCTGACAAGTTACTAGTTTTCAAGTGATCGCAGGCTCAAGTTCAAGGTTTTTCTAAATTCATATGAAATATGTTGTGTTTATGTGCTACACAATTAAAATTTTGATTGCAAACTGACCTCGGACGCGAAAATTCAGCCGGCTGTTACAGGCAGGGAAGACAGTTGCTTTTGACTTTTCTCACCATGGTCACGCGTTGGTCACGCTCTACGTCCAATTTTTATGCTCTGATTGGTCAAAATTTGACACGTGAGTTCATGCGGAAAATTTATGCAGCATCTTGAATCTTGTTTACTTTGACAGCTGAAGCTGACAGTGTTTTGTGTCAACTTGTGATGTTTTTAACTGTCTTTTTTCACTGGATGTGCAAAATGAAATACAGCTGCTATCAGGAGTCCTCTAGTGTTATTCATGGCTAGTTTGTTTATTGGGTTTATGGTTGAGGAATACGTCGCTTGTCAGAGTCGGAAATCCGATTTCGGATGGCATCGTTTTCGTTTTCACCTTACTTCATGCGTAAGAGGATTGCAAAGTCTGAAGCGATACTGGCCTTTCTTGATACCTTTCAGGAGCTGCATCTCGAATGGTAAGCCAGAGAAATTATTGTATTTGATGTTTGTTTTTTTGGATCTAGTTTAATGAAGTCGAGCGGAGTTTATGCGGTCAATTAGTTTATGCACGTTTGTAAGATTTGAGAAAATGATCTGACCGAGTATCAGGTTTGATATAAACTTACAGAACTTTAAAAAGCCTTTAGACAGTTTCTCACCGCAAATAGAAAGAAAACGTTCCAAAGAATATTTAGTTATAATTCTGGCCGGAAAAGAAAGCTTTGAGCGATTTTCTTGCCTCGAGTTCGTCTTTGAAAAAAGCAAACACCGGGAAGCCGGCTTAAAACATAAACTTAAGCCTGAAGTTTGAAGACTCAGGATTTTTAGGGATACTTAAATATATACTTGTCTTCCTGAATGAAAATTGTTGTTTCTGTATATGTTTCACCGAATTATGTTTCTTTTATTGATTGTTAGTAGTCTCTCTTGTAATTTTAATCGCTGTGCCGACATCGCTTGCAGGAGTACTCAAAATGCCGCGCGTTAATAAACCATTAAATAAAAAATAAAGAGAATAAATTCTTTATAATGTTGGAGCGTAACTCTGTTAATGTTCATTCAAACACACGCCACAGCTCGCACTACAAAAGTGATGAACCGGATGGCCGTATAGGTGATTTTGGAAATTTTTTTAACAGTTTATGAATATTGAATGAGTGCAATTTGTATTGTGAAATACTGCTTTCTGTCCGAGGTCTGCCTGTATGATAAAAACAGTGCCTCATACTACTGTTTCACCTCAGATGTGATGTATAAATGGTATAAAAGGTTGGTTTACACGCACCCAGATTTGTTGACAAGATTTTGCAAAGTAAACTTGTCGAACGCAAAAAAGTTGGCCTGATTTTTTTTTCCACTAATTAATCTACGGTGATCAAGAGCCATTATGGCTCTTAAATGTGATCGAAGATGATTACCAGTTTTTGGGTGTACATATGAGGCTATCAACTCGATGTAAGATTTGGTTCACTCTTGGGCTGTTTGCAAATTATTTTTCTCTAAAATCAGGTATCCCTTCCCTCTAAAGTCACATAAATGTGCTCTAAAGTTAACTGAATTGTGGAATTCGAATACAAGTTTATTGTTTAATTTAAATTATAAATTTATTAATGGGAGCCTCGCTTTTAGCCCTGGCTAAATCTATATATTATAGAGACTGGTTCTAAATCAAACTCTTAACTACCGGTAAATGCCTTTTTCGTAAGCGACGTTTCTATAACTGCTTGTACGACACTTTGATGATAGCTAAATGTTTTGAAACAGTGTTCTTAATCATTGCAATGGGTTTAATTTCCTGAGGAGACTGAAATTCCACATGTTCGCTTGTATATAAAAAAAATTCTCTCTTCAATGTGGGGAAACGCATTCCTATTTTACCTACTTCCTTCTGCAAGCGCCACAAACTCGTTCGGATTCATCATCGGGCACGAGTAGTTTAGCTCCCATGCGCAGGCTTAATATCGAAATCGAACCTTTGAAAATACCCACTGACCGAGAATGCGATCTTCATTAAGGTTGCTTGCACTTATATTGTTAAACCGTTGCAAGCATCGTTATCCCTTCCACGTTTACTATCCTTAATTTAACCCTCGGACGTACAAGAGGGGTTGTCACCCCCTCTGAGGTTTTTATGAGTTTATTCCTACACGATAAAACTTTAGCACCTGACGTTTTCAGTAGCTGTTCGTTTATCCCTCACGCGTATTTTGAGACAAGTTTAGGAGGTTGCTAATGGGGGTACCAATTCCTCGTTAACTACTATTTTTTCGGCCAAATATCGGTTAACTAATATTTTTTGGGACCAATTCTCAGTTAACTACTAATTTTGGTTAGCTATTAAACTTTCCCTTTCCTACAGCGAATATTATTCCGTCATAACCCGAGTTTCTTTACTTCAGCACGTCAATCACCTTTGGGGGTTGGCCCTGCAAAGATCAGGGTATAAATGTACATGAATTCACATAAACTCAGCCACTAGTACTGTTTATAAGAAACTAAAAATAAAGAAAAGAACATAATTATCTAACCGAAGTAGTAAAAACGGGAGAGCGATAGCTATTAAAACACCTCCTATTAACCCATTTTTGCTGCATGCACAAAATGGATTAAGTCGTATCACCATTAACACAGTAAAAACCCGCGTATAAGAACCTAAATAGCCTGAATTTCATCCGATTACTTCGAGTCGTTATTACTCCCTCAGTAACTTCTGAATCGACCGGCCGTTAATGCCGTCCAGTGACGTCACTAATCCTTGACCTTTGCTTTAATTAATTCATGCAAAAAGTAAAACACGATTTTTAAGTGGCAAACCGAGAAATATCGTTTGGAAATGTCAACATGATACAGAACTGCTTTATTTTTTCGATCGTAATTCATGTTTAACGTTCAAACTATCAAATGCGTACAGTACAACTCTGAACCGTTTGTACTAAATTCTATAATCAAACTCGGTCGCAATCACGCAATGAAATAAACACACACACGGAACACTTAGTTCAAAAACACAAGGATTTGCTTTAATTGAAAAGAAGCTATTTAGTCCTTAACGAAGAGACAAGAAAGAAAAGCTAACTTAATCATTACACTTGACGGTAAAAATAGCAAGAAAGAAGACTCAGAAAACTTCGCGTAAACAAAATCACCGGCCGCCGAAACCACAAAGCGGCTCTAAATGAAAAACCTACCGACTCTCTGCAATGAATATTCATTCGCAGTTCAATTTAGCATTTCAGTTTCGAAGACAAGGGCAATTTTGTTGTTTAAGATAAAGATTAAACTTATCGAAATGTTTGAACTAAACGAAAGAATACCAGGGATGCGATCCGCTGAATACCAAGCGAAAATCCCGCTAAAATTTTTCATAATTATACATAATTATGCGAATGTTTAGACAATCAACCAATCAACATCACTACCCGGTTTTCGGGTAGTGAGTGACGTCACTGGACGGCATTAACGGCCGCTCGATTCAGACGTTGTAGAGAGGAGAAAACGACTCGAAGCAATCGGATGAATTTCAGGCTAACCTAAATAGTGCTAATTGGACAGTGAGGCTACTTACTACAGGTTCTTAAACTGGTTCTTATTTTTAAAAATAAATAAGGTCTTTGTCATTGATGGGTGTGGTCTATTTTGGGCCTTTTTTTTTGGTATTGCATGCATAATATGTTATAAAAACTCCTTTAATCCAAGCAGGTTAAAGCGTTGCCAGGGTTTTTTCTTCATTCTACCTGCTGGTGGAGCTTGTTTTATTAAATTTGTGTATTCAGTGTTTGACTGAGTTTCTCAACATAGGAACCATTTGCCCAAAACATTTTTGCAAGTTGCTCAAAATTTACAAAACAGTCGAACAAAAACGAGGGCCGATGCAACAACGGAGGCAGTACTGGCATATGAAAATGGCTCGATACAGTTTTTCAGAGTCAATACCTGCCAAGTTTGAGCATAAACTACGTCGCCAGAAACAATCATTTGGAAAAATTGCCACCACAGTTGTATTAGATAAAGATAAAAATTTGTTGTGATCAGGGTTGCAATAACATCGGAGTTGTCATAGCAACGAAATGAAGCCATTACTTATTATGCTTGCAGCAATATTTCTCCCTGGGAACTGTTGACTTCCAAAATCGATCACAGGAGCTTTTCCTCCAATAGTCGCCTCGATGTTCGTGAAGTTAAAGCAGAATCTGTAAGTGCGTTATCGAGATATTTTGGGATAAAGTTTTTATCGTTGGAAATACGGTAAAAAAAGGAAAATGTTATTTGTAGAAAACGATGCGCTTTTGACATGCAATTTCACCTCATAGTAGTTTCAATCTTTTTAAAAAAGTGGTTGAAAGATCTGGGAGATAGCTCCGGCCAATTGCTACAAAAAAGGATTTGATTAGTATGGATCATGGCGCTCTTGGTTGCGGTTTTGTAAACATCTCAGTCTACTTTTACAAATTAGTGAATAATTTTTAAACCGCTCGATAGATTTTTTTTAAAAAAGTAATATTCTTCTCGTAATTCAAACTGAGAATTAGCCACTTCTTCACTTTCAGACCCATTGCTGATGCTATCTGCCATACACTGTTCTACGAGCGGAGATGATTCTAGAAAGTTTGGCGGAAGTGTATTCTAAAAAATTCGCAACGGAAAGCGTCAGTCATAGAGCTGGTTGTAGACAACTCAACAAATAATTCGTCTTCTAATATGAACAAGATTTCTGTGTCTAAAAGATCGTCAAGTTAAACGTTACTACCCAAGGAAAAAGAGCTGTGACTATTGGCATTGGATCTGGCCGAAAAGAAATTCCGATGGCTAAAAAAAATCAGCGCATCTTTCTTTATAAAGTACATGGAATTTGTACTTACCAGAAATCATTTTAATTTGTAACTATGTTGCAGTTCTAACTATTGAGACTATTAAGCTCGTGTTTAAACTGGTCTTTCTGGAACAGTTTCAGTTCTTAAAACCTTTCGATACCTTATGACGTCTGAAAAAGGTACGTCTGCAAAAAAGGCAACATTGAGGGACTTTTTTAGCCATCGGAATTTCTTTTCGGCCAGATGCAATGCCAATAGTCACAGCGTTTTTTCCTTGGGTAGTAACGTTTAACTTGACGATCTTTTAGATCCGTGAAAACAGTATTTTCCTTTCCCAAACACAGAAATCTTGTTAATATTAGAAGACGAATTATTTGTTGAGTTGTCTACAACCAGCTCTATGACTGACGCTTTCCGTTTTCCAGGCACTGCCCTGGTGCCTTTTGCAGGTAGTAATATCAGTCAATGTGCCACCAGGTCTTAAGCGGGACAGAAAAAAAGTCAGAAAATAGTATTTCTGTTTGCAAAACTTTATTTCTTTCATTAACATCGATAGTACTCAGTATAATCAATAGAATGTCACTTAACTGTTAACTTTTCATTTCTCAGTTAACTACTGATTTTGTGGGCCAAATATCAGTTATTTTAACTGTCAACCCCATTGGCTCCCTCGTTTAGTGATGGTCAGTCACTATGGTTACGAGAGGGTGTGAATGGGGTTAACCGACTGGCGACAAACTAAGGGTGAAAAATATTACTGACTACCGACAAAACGAGAAAAAAATACCGACTACCGACAGGAAAAATATTAACCGACCACCGACATGGACCAAGATTATGGATATTTGTTTTCAGAAAAAAGTCCATCTCTAGCCGTTATTGATAGGAAGAAACCTCTTTAAATTTATGACCCACCGGATGGTCCAAGGGAAAGAATTTCCTCTTCTATTGGTACAGTTACATTGCTACAACCAATATCAAAAGCACAGAAGTCACACCTTCAAGATACTACCGACTTTATACATTTTTGGATTGAAAAGATAAAGGTGGAAAAACCTAACGTAGCTGAACGTTTCTTTTTTCGGTTCGAGAAATGCTCCACAAAGAAAATTCTTTCCAGTGTAATGGAAAGCACTATCAGTACAAACTCACGGTACCGCGATGGGCACAAAGACAGCAGTTTCCTTTCCCAACACTTTCATGGCATATATTGAAACGAAAAGTTTAACCAAAGCCTTCTTTAAACCAACTTTTTGAAAACGCTACATAAATGACATTTTTTGCCAGACATCGTAGTTTTGTTCGAACAAGTAAACTTACATCACCCTGCTATGAAATTCACGGCCAAAATATCTGACACTGGGAGACAATCTGTTTAGACACGGTTGTATACCAAGACACAACATTCAACGAAAAAGGTATCCTTGATGTAAAGATGCATTTTTAAACGGAAAACTTCCAGTTTATACATTTTCATCTCTTGTCACCCACCAAGTGTTAAAATGGATTTGTCAAAGGGAAAGCCTTGAGAATCCTACGAAGAAACTCCTCTGAAAGTTTGAGATTTCAAAAAGCGCTTGATGGACAGACGCTAGCCTCACAATTTTGAAAGAAAAATTGCTACCAGAAGTAAAACTCACAGGGCTGCTCTCCTGATGCAAAAAAAAAAGGAAGAAAAAGAAATATTGCCTTTCGTGACACATTACCAGCCCTTAGTGTCCACTATAAAAAAAGCTTTTATTAATGAAAAAGTGGAATCTCATACAAGCCAGCCACTACTTTTTGCCAAATATCTAAAAAACCACCTATTATTTCCTTGAGAAAGGAAAAAATATGGCAAAGGGCATGCTTGTTATAGCCAAAATATTAAAGGTATAGATGTGCAGTCTGTCACCCGGCCCGTTGCAGTTTTCCAATAAGAAATAATTTGCCCTGTAATCAATAGGGAAGCCAAGTTGGCTTTTGCAATAAAAGCTTTAATGATTTTATCAGCACTAAATTGGCAAACAAAGGTGAAATAAACGATCATGTTGCTGGCTACAATCAAATAATGCATTCTTACAAGTTTTAGTCTTTTTTTAGGGATCAAAGTCTTGAAACTGGGTGAAATACATAACAAATATTAATCAAGCATTTATCAAACGTCTTTACATATTAATTGAGATTTACCGCCAACATAAAAAGATCGAAAATTTTAACTGACTAACGTCAAAGTAACTGAATTTTAATCGACAACCGACAAAAGGATCACCCCTCCCCTGCCGCCCCCCCGCCCCGAATTCACACCCTCTTACGAGATAGGACGTCATAAGTAGCAGGTGGTCAAGCCATTTTTGAGTGGAAATGAATGTTTTTTCAACCTCTTTCAACAATAAAAATAAAGCTTGTGGATAAAATGATGCGAAGTACTTATTTTACGTGTTATTTTACATGTTAAGCACTCAAAAAACTACCCATTCTCGAGGTTTTTTTACCTGATTTCTAATTCTTGGTAAAATCCAAAATGGTCACCAAGATGGCGACCAAGTTTGGTGACGTCACAGACCTCCAGCAGCGCCACCACCCATAAAATATACCTCATCTTGTAGAGAAGATCAAAGGCAAAATCGTTTCGAAATACTACAACATATCAAAACCTCTAGGGAGTGGTTCTATCAACTCCAACATGTGCCACGGTGGTGGTATGACTTGCGAATACGTCCAGGGGTTAAACTGTTCCATAACATTTGAATTAAACACTCAATACGCTCATGTATAGTCTCGCCTCTTTTCTGTTAGAGGATCAAAAAGTCACATCTGAATTGTTTTGCCCAAGGTATTATCCACCTAAATGCATTCAATCAATCTAAAGTAAAATACTTTCTTGTTTCTGCAGGACGTAAAAGCTATCATCCAACAAAAATGGGAATCGTGGAGATCTAAGGATAAAGCGGTTACGATATACCACTATAACCATATTAAAAATAAAAGCGTTTTGGATCATCCTAAAGTCCTTTGGTACATCAGGGAGTGCATCAAGATTGTGTGGCGCATGATAACCCAGGTTCCAGCTATGAAAATTGAGTACCAGTCAAGTCAGCTAAGAAGCTTCCATACACAAACGGGCTGTTACAGAGGGATGCCCTCCAAAGGTGGAGACCCCAAGGAAGAGATTGCGTACTATCTGTGGCCTGCACTTTTTGATGGTGGGAATAGGTTGGTCCGTAAAGCAGAGGTGCTCTGCAAGACCGCTTAAAACTTCATGGAGAGAAATGTACTGTGTTAACTTCCTAGGTTTTCGAGTGTAGAACTGAGTAATATTGACACCAATGCCTCTCATTGTTAGTGATCTTTGTATGCTTCGTTATCAGTGCGCTAGGCCAAAGCTTATAGGCCTGATACAATACAGGGCACGACTAATGCCTCTTTTTCATTTTGCAAAAATACCTCTCTTTTAATAGTTATTCGTGTTCTGTTTTAATTAACTTCTTTGTTTTACCTACATGACCTAGAGACACCCGCTAGATATAAAATTTCTTGGAGACTGGAAAAACGCAGCTGTGTAAAAGAATAGCTTAACCCTCTAACGGGATAAATTTCATAATACGCTGATATATCAATTAAAAAGCCAAAAAAATGTGCGTACTAGCTACAAATATAATATCTGCTCGAATTTCCAACTTAAAATTTATCGTAATAAAATAATGAAACATAAAGATTTATTGTTTGTTGGCTACGCCAGTGAGGTGAAAGAATACAAACCTATGCTTTCACTGCTTTAAAACGCTAAGGTGTTCAAGGAAGGTAACTTGATTCATGAACGAAATATTATTGTTCACGCTTAGACATACGTGTATAATTAAACACATAAGAATGTAAACGTTTATTCATTAGCCAAAAGAGCAAATAATGTAGCCATAGAAAGACAACAAACGTTTGCAAATCGGATATTCTAGTTCCGATTCCATTTTGTCGTTTAATCTACTCAAGTATGTATTGATTTCTGTTTTTGTTGCAATAAAATCCTGATATACTTAAATGCGCCTAACTGTTCCACATATAGACATGTAAATTCAATTATTTATAAAATCTTTCATTCACAACAGTCAGTTATATTTTAAATGTGGTGGTCCAAAAATACTTGGCGATATTTTTTGCCTTCTCGGAGGCAGCCTTCTTATTTGATACCCAGATTTCTTTGATGTGCACAAGTTGGTGGTCTTGTGCACTTTTTATCTGGATCAACTCGAGGTATTCGACCGTTTATTAAGATAATTTAGAAACGGGACTGCCTGATAACACTGATGATTTCAAAACGAAGCTAAATGTGACCAACTCAAAATTTTAATATGATATGAGATCCCGTTAATTCCTCAGGAAAAGGCTCATGTGATCTGACTCTTGAGAGTAACTACTCATTCTTGGTATTCAGGATTCTCCTTTAAAGGTTTATTTTGGTTAATTATTATGGAAAAAGTCTAGCGTGGTTTGCGCTCTGTTCCCACTAGTAACATCGCGCGCTGTCGCCGTTATTTCTGTCCCCCCAAAGAACAAGCTGACCTCCAATTCTCTGTCCAATCCTCTCCAAGTCTCAGGAGACAGAAGCACGACACTTCCAATCCTGGTAACTCCTTCGTCTGTGACCATAAGGGTGTTAGGGTTTCTTGAGGCATAAAATGAGTATTTGATTTTCTTTTCATTTGGATAAAGTGGTCGATACATTGTTCGTATTCTCTGCCCAAGTTGAACTACTTCGTTTTCCTTTACAAAGCAGTTAAAGACATCGCTGCACATCTCTTTTCCATTGGCTATGAACTTGCTTTCTTCGGGATGAACGCCTTTGATAAAATCCCTACAGCAGTCAACGCCATAGGTCTTGCTAACCACTCTCTGGGTTATTTTGGTCGGCCTCTTGCCAAAGATTACTGCTCCCTGGACAACAGCTATGCCAGCATCATTAGGAATAACCACACGACACCTCCTGAAAATAATCCTATTATCAATAACCAAACATTCTTAACTAAGACAATTCCAGTTAACAAGCGTCTATTGAGGTTACAAGAATATGATGCGTGGTAGGTCTCAAATTTCAAAAGAATTAGTTACAAGTGCAGCAAGGGTCACAATTGCATTAAGGGTCGAACGGTAGTAAATAAATAAGTTACAGTTATTAAAGTGTCGTGTTTACTCAGTGTGTAAAGAGCTTATGTCAATTTCTAAGTCATGCAGACTCGTCTTTCAACTCGCCGGTTAAAATCACATAGAGTTCTAATAAATGTTCTCTTAGAGACACTAGAAGAGATAATGATTTTTTTTTCCTTAACTCTAAAGTTACTTTGTCTTATTTCTCAGGTGCATAAAATTTGGGTGGGTATTTTGTTGAATTTCTTCCTTTTAGTAGCTGTTCTGATCAATATTGGTGCCAGTCTATCGGGTCCTTTGCCTATCGTTACCTGTTCTGCCATGTTATATTCCCGCATTATTCATTTTCCTTTGTTTAATGTCCTGGTCTTTGATATTCTCTTACTTTTGCTTTACATATAATGCAGCACTGAACAAAATTTTCAAATATCTATTCTATGATAATATCCAGTAATAGTAACCAAGTCATCGCGCAGAATTCCCAGTTTATGGAGGCCAGCAAAAAGTTTGCTGTCCGGGTGGGGGTTAGCGTTTTGCTGTTTTTAGCAACTACACTTCTAAATGAAGCATGCATGAGGTAAAAGAAGGGGATAAGGCAGTGGACGTTAGTGCGGGGCCAGGCGGTGTGCGTCACCAGGTTCGACCAATCAGAATGCGTCAATTGTAGAGTGATTTTCGCGCTTGGAAAGAGCCGTTTTCAGAAGTGTATGTGGTGAAATTTTCGCTTTATTCCAAGCTTGTGTAGGTAATTTCGACACTATTCCGCCATGGAAGGTTGTTAGTTTTAAATATTTTGCTTTCTTGAGCGTTTGTGACAAGTTTGAATTGCTCGGTCATGTCCAAGCCGCCATGATGATTTGAGTGTTATTTTCGCCGTTCTTCTTGGATTCATTGCTGGTTACTGTTAGCGGTTTTATCGGATTATTTCGGTCAACTTGTTACTTCAACTTTTCTTCTTTGTAAATTTTGGGGTCTACCCGGGTCTACCCCTGTTAGTTCCCCTGTTATGAGGCGTTGAAAGTGTCTTGGAATGAAGAGATTGTGTCAGCCAAGTACCACAAATCCCGTGAAACGGGCTGAGAAACTTGCAGAAGCGAAAGCCGACGTGAAGCGAATAACGAAAAATCCAGCAAGAGTATATTTCTTTTTAAACCAGAAAAGTAAATAAGTTTGAATATTGTGATAACCTTTGGAAACAAAAAAATTTCATAACCCAGTGGGGAAACTGAAAGCGTGTATTTAAAATAATTTGCATGCAGTGTGTGCTATGTGTATGCAAATCCTCATGTAAATTTACACGACGGAATAAATCTCAACCAAAACACAAAAAAACTATCGAAGATCTAGACACCATCAGACAGGATTTTAAAACTGTGAGGTTAGGTTTATAACAAAATCGGTACACTGCGCTCACTTCATTGAACGTGCAGACAAGATTGTGGTTTATTTCTGCAACTGTAGCTTCGGTGAAATTCCGGGCATTTTGTGCTGTAGCTGTTCCGGCGCTTCTTTTGGTCTGTTTTTCCCTTGTCTATCGAAGATTTATTTGCTTATAAGGATTATAAACAGTCAATGTTTGCAAAATAATATAAAATTTTCGATGAAGTTAAAATTGTTATGAGAAACCATGCAAGATTTCTCTCCTTGCTCTGACCTAAACGTCCAGTTGACGTTAAGCGGGGGAAAAGTAAATATGTCGACCGCCTCTTACCAGGCAAAAATTCCACCCTTTAAAAAGTAAGTATAAATGCCCACTGGATCAACATATAACTTGAATAATCAGTCTTGAGATTTACCTCTTGTCATAAATTGACAGTAATATAGTTTCTAATGTAACCTAATAATTAGTTGGGAGTACTATTAGATGAAAAGGTTACTTTCGAGACTCACATTGATTATATGTGTAAAAAGGCGTGCGCCAGTGTAGGAGCTCTAAGAAAAATTAAACCTTTTGTCCCGCATTACACTCTTGTAAAGTTATACAATTCATTTGCGGCGGAGCTCCACGCGCGCGCGAAGCCCGCGCGTGCAAAGCCCCATAGCTAAGTAAATCTACCCATCCTAGATAATTTGGTAATCACGTGACCGTACACCGAGCGACCGAACGACCGTCCGTCCGCACCACAGGTATACCAATAAAAAATAACTCAATCAACAGAAATGCTAGCGGCCACCAATGCAAGGTGAAAATGAGCAGCAGTGGAAAAAAAAGTGAAAGAGAACACGTACGACATTTCCTCCAGAAAACGTGTAACAAAGAATGTACAAAAAAAGTGTGCTGCACGTGCAAAGTTTTCCTAATTAGACCTATTGATGTTTTTCACCGTTCTCCGGCGTTGCCTTCGACGCTTAGCATTCACCATTCTATATATTTTGTTTCAACAAACTTTAAATATTATCGAGGACTTCGCTTTTAGCCCTGGCTAAATCTATTTAGTATATACTAAAACAGAGGATAGTGTTTTTCGCGCGCTCTGATTGGCTATTCAATCGCTGGTTTGCCCGTGACGTCACGGCGGCCATGTTGGTGGTCAAGAACAAAAGCATTTCTCTCCTCTGGGAACTAAACTCTATTTTCATGTAAATTCTTCGAGAAAAAGTCCTATTGTATTGACCCCCAACATGGCCGCCTTGTCACGTGGTTGCAAACCAAGAATCAGTGAATATCCTGCACTATTCATTGATTCACCTCCAGTTCCTCCGAGCGAGCGACGCCAAACTCGCGTAAGTTGCGAGCAAAATGCCTTCCCCTTTTGCTGCTAAAACAAACAAAGAAATCTGAGAACTAATCAAGCAAGCTGTTCCCGAAATACACGAAGAAGGTGACGAAGTTCGGTTTGGAAGTTTTAACAGGTAAAGCTTTGTCTTGTTTACAAATGCAAATTAAGCTTAAGCCTTGCGTTACTTTATTTACTTGACTTTTACATAAATAAGCATAAAACTAAATTTAATAATCTTTTTTATATAATGATTTAAAATACAAACAGAATTTACAACTCCTTTTATAAACAATTCCCCGCAAGAGCTGAACAAATGCCTTCAAAAGTTTTATTTGTTGGCAACAAAAAGCGACGAACGCGGCCGTTCGGTCATTGCGCGCCAAAGTTGTAATCGTTGGCAACAGTAAATGAGTATCATCATTTGTTTTTCTCAATTATACTAAAACAATTATTCACCTCAGTGTCGGTGGGGTGGATATTTACTTCGTCGCTTCGCGGTCTCGGCAAATATCCACACCACTAGCTACCTCCACTTCGGTGAATAATTGTTATATATTACAACTATAATCTTAGGAATCTTGAAACTGATCTAGCACTTCAAAGGCCAAGACATTAAATTACCTCGAACATAATTTTAAGTAAAGTGATGCAATGCTCTGGAACAATCTTTCTTACGAGGCAAAAACAACACAATCCATTTCCTAACTTAAAAGCCAACCGGCTCATTTGCCTTCTTCTGGATCGCTCTGATTCCTTACTTTATGTTAATATTTTAAAACTTACATCAATTATTCTCAAAGAATGCTGCGACACATCCGGGACCTTCTTACGGTCTAGAGCGCCAGATTTGAAAAACTTCCTTCTGACAAAGGAGCCAAAGTGCAAAGAAAATTAGGGGAGATGACGAAACAAGGTGGCTTTTTCAGAAGAGATGTCGAATCATTTAAGAGCATCGTCACTTCCCTTCTAAGATTCGTTTTTTTCGCCGTTTTCATAATGGGAAAAACACTTTCTTGATATTCAGGATAGGTTTTTTCTTTTAACCCTTGGACGTACAAGGAGGGGGAAGGGAGGTGATTGCCACCCCCTAAGGTTTTTCTGATTATTTTTCTTAGACGATGAAACATCAGCGCCTGGGTTTTTTTTTAGGTGTTCGTTTATCTCCTCGCGCGCATTTTGAGACAAGTTTAGTGATGGTCAGGTACTATGGGTACGAGATATTACGTCATAAGTAGCAGGTGGTCAAGCCATTTTTGAGTGAACTGCATGCTTTTTAAACTTATTTCAGGAATAAAGGAAAGCTTGTGGATAATATGATAGAAGGAAATTATTTATGTGTTATTTTACATGTTAACCCTCGGACGTACAAGCAAATTCATACCCCCATCGTTCTACAAGGGAGGGGTGGATGGAACCCCTTTCCGGAGTTTTCGATATGTTGCAGTATTTTGAAACGATTTTACCTTTAGCGGAAAGCCTTTGATCTCCTTAACAAGATCAGGTATATTTTATGGGTGGTGACACTGCGAGAGGCCTGTGACGTCACCAACAATGGTCGCCATCTTGGATTTTACCAAGAATTGGAAATCAGGTTAAAACCGCGAGAAATGGTAACTTTTCGTGCTTTACATGAAAAATAACATATAAATAAACACTTTGCACGATTTTAGCCACAAGATTTACTTTTATTGTTGAAAGAAGTTGAAAAGACATGAAATTTCACCCAAAATTGACTTGACCACCTGCTACTTATGTCGTCATATCTCGTAACCATAGCAACTGACCATCACTAAACTCGTCTCAAAATCTGCGCGAGGGATGAACGGACAGCCACTGAAAACGTCAGGTGCTGATGTTTTGTTCTCTAGGAAAAAAACTCAATAAAACCTTATGGGGGGTGGTGGCATCCCCCCATCCACCCCCTTGTACGTCCGAGGGTTAAGCGCAAACAAAATGTATTCTCACTGTTCTTACCTGACCATTTTTGGTGACGTCACAGACCTCCAGCAGCGCCACAACCCATGAAATATACCCCATGTTTTCGAGAAGATCAGCACCTGACGTTTTCAGTGGCTGTCCGTTCATCCCTCGCGCAGATTTTCCACTGAATGGAAAATCGTTTCGAAATATTGCAACAAATAAAAAACTCAGAGGAGGGGGGCGGGGGGGTCCATCAACCCCCCTTGTACCACGGTGGGGATATGACTTTGAGTGTACGTCCGAGGGTTAAAAATGACTCGCTAAAAGGCTCACCCTGATGGAAAAGTTCTAACCCAAATAGTGGCGAAAGTTGGGATTTAACATGATGCTTGGAAGTATTATCGAAACGCTATATTTTCTAGAAGGTGTTAGGTAAACGTACTACACGTCTTCCGAACGTAAACAATGGAGCACGCTTGGTTGATTGACTTTGATCCCACAAGTACCTATTTATACAAAACTCCACTAATCCTACGGTGTTCAAGATTTTGCGTTCAACAGCCGTGGCAATCAAACCACTTTAGTTCACTCAACACTTAACTCAACTTTTTAAGTCTGTTATACAAGTTACGTTTACTCCAGTATCTGTAAAATATATTTCTGAATACACACGCATTCATTCAGCAGTTCTTTATTCTCTAAAATTTTGTAACATTTCGCATTCCAATAGTGAACACCATATTGTTCCTATTTTTTTGCAAATTTAGTGTGTTTGCCAACGTGGAAATCAGCTGTTGTTGTGCATGGCGTGAGTCGCTGGCGTAGTTGAAAAAATGCTGTTGTTGTTAGAGGTGGTAGTGGTACCCATCGAGAGTTGGTTACGAGTATCTCGAAATCAGAGACAAAAAAACTCTCAAAGTTGCTGCATTCCTGTTATTATGCAGTATTTTAAAGACCACATCGTGGCTCGAATTCGGCTCTAGCCTGTTGAATTCCCTGACGGATCGAGCATTCTATGCGACGCCTTCCTAAGAAGCTAAAGTAGTGTGACCTGTTTTAGCAATTTAACCATCGGACGTACAATGGGCGGACGGGGAGGGGGGTGGGGCCACTAAGGTTTTCTGAGTTTTATCTTAGAGGATAAAACATCAGCACCTGATGTTTTCAGTAGCTGTTCGTTCATCACTAGCGCGCACTTTGAGTCAAGTTCAGTGATGGTCAGTTTCTGTGGTTACGAGATATGACGTCATAAGTATGAGGTGATCAAGCCATTTTTAAGTGAAAGTACATGTTTTTTCAACTTCGAGTTTCAACAATAAAAGTAAATCTTGTGGCTAAAATCATGCAGAGTGCTTATTTATGAGGTATTTTTCATCTCAAGCACAAAAAATCGCTATTTCTCGGGGTTTTAACCTTATTTCTAATTCCTGGAAAAGTCCAAGATTGCGGCCAAGATAGCGAACACTGTTCGTGACGTCATAGGCCCCAAGCAGCAACACCTACCATAAGATATACCTCATCTTAAAGAGAAGATCAAAGACTTTCCACTGCAGGTAAAACTGCTTCGAAATACTGCAACATATCAAAACCTCTGGGGGTGGGGGGGGGGGGGATCCTTCCATCCTCCTTGTACCACGGTGGGGGTATAAATTTGCGTGTACGTCCGAGGGTTAACATTGCCTTAACATTACATTCTTAATTCCCATTATAATCCTAACCATCATTGCATTTGTGACCTACAGCTGTATTTCTCATCAGAAGTGCTTTGGCCATGCGCACAATGTTGGTGACCACCTTTTTGTAAAAATATAATCTAACGCTGCACCTACCTTTACAGCTTCGCTTAACTGCCATTTTAGAAACTTTATATCTGCACGGTTGCTATGCAATCAATTTACATTGCAGAAAATTCATAATTTTTGCAAAAAGGTTTGATCTTAAGATATTACTTAGTTGCCTCGGTTACAACATATCACCCAGCAGTACAAGATATTAAAAAGGCATTGATGGCAAACTAGAGTCTAATGGAAAATCGGCCTCTGCTGAAAACAATTTTTGAAAGACCTCCGATCATATCTTACAAAAGAGGTAAGTCTCTAAAAGACATGCTTGAAAGAGCAAAAATGTAACTTGAAGGCAGTTGATAATACGACGTAACCAAAAATACCACAATGGGAGTCCGTGCAGGTCTGCCTTTGACTTCCTTTCGATGTCAGACTATTTTACACTTCTACACTACACTACAGTTCTTCTAAATGTAGAACTAAGTAAAGAATGACAAACTGGGTTCATGACTAGGGGAGCAGTGTGACAATATTCTGACTTTGTATTTGGACTATTCACCACTTCCACACCTCTGAGAAGTGTGGAACTAAGTTAAGAACTGTAGAAACTCTGGATTTTATGGTCAGGGCTGGACATGGCTCATCTCCTGCCCCAAAGCGTATTTTTTTTCTGAGGCCAATGTTCAAGCTTAGCATTGAATGGACAAACAGGGGCGATCCCCTGTTCCACGGGTAGGCTCTTCCATTATTTTCGCAGTATCCTCGAAACGCACCCAAAGAACAGAGTAAACATCACAAAACAATCTTCCAAAAACGATTACCAAACAGCTTCGAACCCGAGACTCCACGCACACACCAAAAAGGAATGACCTCAGGCTCGATAAAAGCACGATCTGTTGCGTACAATGAAGGCTCCATAAAGGCACGATCTTAGGTTATACATACGGGTCGCACAATAAAGGCACAACATAAGGCTCTGTGAAGGCTCGTTAAAAGCATGATAAAGGCACCATCTATACTCGATGGCATGTTTATCGACTTGATCTTACGCATGATTATCGTGCAAGCACGGTGTACGATGGCAAATGTTGTTTTATCTTTTTTGTTATGGCTGTGATCACAAAAACCGTACACTTACTAAGAGTCCTTCATTAAGCAATTATGACCACATTTACAACCAACGGCCAAAAAGCCCCCACTTTCGTGACCACGAGAAGCGTTCAGGGTGTGCACTCTTTTTATTAGTGGTCCGTGCACGCGATTCAAATCCTGAAATTTTCCAGCTACCGTGTGGCAAGAAATTTTTGCGGGAGTTTATTTTTGCGGATTGGCTATTTGTGTTTTGCGAGAACTAATTTTTGCGATTACAACAGATTGGTTTTTCTTGCTGGGAAATAATTTTTGCGATTTTCAGAAAGTACTCAGTCCCCTGCTTGATAATATTTTCGTTTTGTTAAGTACGTGCAACACAAATATATATTTTCAAACGGTACTACGGTATGCGTACCCTATGTAAAACCAGTATTTTATTGTATACCGCTTAGTTTGTTTCTGAACGTAACAGATAAGTTTTAGTTGAACAGACACGATTTCTTAGAACGTATTTTTGTCTAGGGAATTTAAGTTGGAGAATATTTACTCTGGAGTAAATTTTTGCAGGAAAAATGTTTGCCGGTTATTTTTATTTGCCGGAACTTATTTGTGCGGATCGCTGGAAAAATCGCAAAAATTAGAGCCCGCAAAAATTTCGTGCTACACGGTAATCCCCAAAAAAGGAAAAACTTGCAGGTGCTGTTAAATTTAACTCTATTATATCATAATGGTCACAATTATCATTTCGCGTTGCTTAATTAAGCTCGAGCCCGAAATATCTCCCTTTAAACAAAGAAGCGTTGCTATATCCCTACCTTGAAAATTGCGTTTTTATGTCTTCCTGGAGGATACGAGATTCTGCAAATCCTCCTACAAGGAGCATCATGTTGACTTTGGAAAGCTCTGATAAATTGAGAAGACCATTCAGATGCTCTTTCATGGTTTCAAGGACGGGTTCAAACAGTTTCAGCATAACACTGGGACTCAAACACAGATATTCATCGTTGAGTATTTTTACATCTCCTGATTTGAAGCGCTTCAAAGCAGAGGAACGAAAATCGTTGATGGAAGAAATGAAGCTAGCTGGAAGCCGAATCCTTGTTTCTTTTCTATCCAGAGCTCGTGTCCCTCTTTTCTTCACCTCAAAATCATTCATTAACTTTAGCCAATCACCCGGAAACTGTACGCGATAATCACGTAGCTTGGGAGCACCAAAAACCTCATCCAGGAGAATTTGAAACTGCCAATTCACTTTCATCCCGCCAAAAGGTCCACCAGTTACTTTGTAAATTTCTTTTAAGGCACCGTTACCCTGCCTTTCATGTACTGTAACGTCAAAAGTGCCACCTACAAAGAAAAAGTAGTTCGGTTGTGCTTGTTGTAAGTTGTTGTTGTTGTTTTTCTTTTAGTTAACTTAAAAGCCGTTCGTCGTCATTTATGCCTTCTCCTCGCATCTAAACAGCTGAAGCCCCTTTTTGTGCTACGCTGCCTGAGTTTTGTTTACTCAGAGAAACGACACAATGATGCAATGGGTCTTTCATCAAACTTTAAATGCAATGCTACATAAAGGAACATAGTATAGTTTTCCAGATTATATTTTCACTTTATGTAGTCAAAATTGCAGTAAGATTGAACTTTTCTCAATTTGATCGGAGATGCATCCTAAATTTCAGTACCACTGTGTTCAAGTGACAGCCATTGATATACGACGCACTTACCACCAATATCGACGACCATATACTGCAAAAGAGGGACACTTAGCGGCTTTTCCACAGATTCAATTTCCTCTTTTGATGCAGGGTCATGCAGTTTCCTCTCCATGCACAACACAGCTGCGGCCTCAGGCTCTAAAGCAATCAACAACTGTTCTGGATTGTTAGGTGAGCCAATCCCAGCCTGTTAAAAGAAATCGAAAAGATAGAGATGTGTTAATAGCATGCCATGTACAGCCCAAAGAGATTCATAATAGCAAAGATATTACAATAAACTGTTACGCTTGTTTTGTTTGTTTGTTCTTTTTGTTCTTTTTCTTTTCATGCGTACTTAAAAAAAAGTAATTTCAAAAATCATTATAAAAAAACAAAAACATATCAAACAAACATAAACGAAAACAAACAATGCCTAATTTGTTCACAGCAGTACTCCAATATTTCAGTCTTTTAGGAGATTGGTACGGTATTTTCTTACCTCATAAGCTGCCTTTCTCATGAATTGCTTTGCTTTTGGATTCCAAATGGCAGGAACAGTTAAAACCCACTGAACATCTTCGACTTCAAAGCTATCATCTTCTGTCTTTTGTCGAATGACGTGGACAGCTGTGTCCTTAAGAAATTTAATGGAATGTGCAAACACCGTTATGGCCTGTAGGCCCTTTCCATTAGCAGCCTCTATCTCGGTATCTAGGTCAAGACTCTGTAAACGGAAAATGATGAGTTTAGCCCAATCGCAGGTGCTATAGTGGGTGGCATGCAGGGTAAGTACAAAACTTGCCTTGAGGTTCAATTGAATATTTCCATCCTGTTAGCATCGTCATTACCATTACAATTATCATTGTCGTCATCGTCATCGTTATCGTTATCATTATCATTATCATTAACCAGAGTAATAATTTCAGCGTAGAGGAGCATTCTTTACGGTTTTCTCATCTCTCTTTTTCTATCTTTCTTTTGTTGACCACGGACATTTCATCTCAAGTGTGTTGACTGCTTGCTTTTGTGATTGACAATTCGGACGTCAACTCTGTTTAGTCCAGTAGCCGAGATAGGAAAACTGTTGTTTCGTTCAACCCACCGGCCAGAAAAGGTTTGATACCGCATTTTGGTAGAACAAGACCTACTGATCATTGGCTAATAATTTGTAAGGTCGATTTGTAGTATAGGTTTCGAGTAAATGGAGTTCTTTTTATGCCACATACCTTACGGTCCAGCATGAAAACGAGGCTGGAGCCTGAATCACCATTTACTTCCTAATTCTTTGTTAAAAATCACTAAAAAAGGTAACTTACTCAATGTTCAATATAACAAAGGAGATGATTATATATTTTTGAGCCAACAATGTCACGCGACTGATCGTGTAACTCGCACAAGGACAAGTTATTTGCGGCCTGCCAGTGAAATAAAGGAAAATCGCGCTTTTATTGTTTTTGTTTTTTCTTTCTAAGAACCGTTTTTTTAAATATCTGTACTTTGTCTAGTAGTAGTTGCTTTCCTTTGTTAATTTTTGCAAGGAAAGGATAGATTAAAAAATTAAAAAAAAACATTTCTAACATTTAGTTATAGCACTTGACACATTACAAAGTCGCTCTATGAACGTGACAGACGGACAGTTTTTTTTTTTTAATAAGAAATAGAGATCGTTAAGAAAAAGACGACATGTTATTACGTTAAGTTGTCTATTTTCGTACTCATAAGAGAAAAATATTGCATTTATGGATTGCTTCAAGAGCGTGTAAGTGTTCCAAAAGAAGACATTTGACTCCTGAGAAGAGGGTCTCTCTCAAAATATTGCTGATTTGGTTGAGGTCGTATAGAAGAAGGAAAGTGTATCAGAGAGGGTTAACCAACTAAAAGAAAGAGCTTAACGGTACTGACATCTCTGTTTGAAGTCACCGAATCGCACGCAGGAGCCTCGTCAAAGGTGTTTGCAATTTGGTGGCAGTATGTTTTCAAGCATGGTTAGTACAAATTGGCACTTGCTTCTAATATATCTGCCATTGCAACTACGTCGCCGCATTTTTTTCATTGGAAAGACCTGTAAGTATGCACGATGGTAACCACTTTATCTTGCTGATATACGAAGCACCTGGAGTCACAACACTCAAAAGTGTATCAAGAATTTGTTGCTGAAAATCACTCCATTAGCGGCAGTGATCAGGCATTTTCTCATTAGCTAGGTGTCCGTAATAGCGAGGTGTCCGCAAGGCGAGAGTCGACCGTAAATACATGTGACGCTCTCTACATACGTCACAACTTTCAGTTATAAACCCTTTATATCAGTTTTTACGCCAAAGGGATGTACAAATGTATTTCTAAACATTCTATTCCCTCGTGGTCGAAATAATAATACCTACCTCACTTTTGTGTAAACACATCTTGAAATTTTGGAAGAACCAGTATTCTTTTTCCTCTAATAAGCTACTCAAATTTGCATACTTCTCAACTGCTTTATATCCAAACGAGTGAAAAGAAAGGTCTGGCTTCAGCAGCAAGCAGGTCGGTGTCTTACTTGTTCGATAACCCAGCTCATTTTCCCAGTCGCTGTTCATAAAAATGGCGTCTTCCCCTTCCTCCTTGTTAAAAGAAAATGCGAATCCACTGTAAGTCGTACCAAAGTCTATAGCTACGGTTGCAAGGAAGGTTTTCTCGCAGTGCAATATAGACTCGGGGAGATCTGTTAAAACAAAGTAAAGCAGTATTTCTCTCTATATGCTTTTTTTTCTACTGGACAATGGCAAGCTATATGTTTACGGTTTATTGCCGGTTTGACAAGTCGAGAACGTTACAGCTTCTGAATGATCTTACTATACGAGGAAAATTTGCTTCAACCTAGTAACCAATTAGAAGCACTACCCAGATCTAGGTTATAGTACGTCATCTGTATGGAATTTGTGCGTTCGACCCCTAAACGTCATTTCGTATATATGTACTTAATCATACGACTTCGAGTTCAATTTGCAATTTATTTGCCCTAGCATGTTTTGCAAAAAGTATAATAAAAAATGGGCTCATGCAACTTTAGCTTCTTGAAAAACACGCGAGTAGAAATAAATTCCAAATTGAACGAGAAAAGTCGTATGATTACTTTAAATACACAACCACACACTGAGGGTTTCCGGGTTTTAACCCTTGGACATACACGCAAAGTTATTCCCCCACCCACAGCGGTACAAGACGGAGAAGGTAGTGGAATCCTTGAGTTTTTGATATGTTGAAGTACTTCGAAAAGATTTGACGTTCATTGGAAAACCTCTGATCCCCCAGACAAGATGGTATATTTTATGAGCAGAGGCGCTGCTGAAGACCTATGACTTCACCAAACATGGACGGCATCTTGGCTCGGAATTACTAATCGGGCAAGAGCCTTCACTGACTCGAAAAACCGATGGGTCGAGGAACGGATACTCGAATTAACCGGAGTGTAAACATTTAGACAATTAAGTATATTCCTCCAGGTCGAAATGTTAGAATATCAACCTTATTTCACTGCTCATTTTCTAAGTGGCAAAATGAAAATTTCTTGCGGCATACGTTTCGGTTATAATGCATGATAGCACGATTCTTATGCAGCTGGATCCCTTAATCCCTAATTACGGCGCACATTTATGATCATGATAAATTGATCTAACGTAACTGTTTCAGAATCTGCAATGCATTCAAACGTAATGAAATCAGACTTTCAACAAAACTATGTACGTGAATACTTGCCCCAAAAGTTAAGGGTTACCTGCAACTGGCGAGGCCATGTTGACTTGACTTTACCTAGAAAAGGTACCTCAACGCTGTTTAGTAGGGCGGTCTTTTGGCCGCTGCGCTCTCATCTTCCAACTTCCAACTTCTGTGACAAAAGGGAAATTTCCCAGAATTATGCCTGTGGCCAACTAAATGTCAAGCGTGAAACCATATTTGTTAACGCGAATATCTAAGTGGACTTGAATTAGTTCTGTTGTTTATGACCTTTTGAAAGCAGGAATATTGAGACATTAAACACCACAAACTTTGCTCATTCTAATAACTATGTGCACAATAACAAAATATAGGTTAAACATGACAGTCGCTTGGATCAAGTATGCATGACAACTTCCGGTTTTCCTTGAAATAGGGATGTAGTATTGCGGAAGTCGAATTTCTAGGAATATTATTGATCACGATTACTAACAGCTTAACTTTTTGTTGCTGTTATAGTTGCTTGTTTTTTGTTTGTTTTGTGCGAGTGTGCGGTTATTTTTTTTTAATTTAATTCATTTAAGGTAATTTATACAACAGGATAAATTGAAGTTAATGTGATAACCATAAACCCGCCCTTACCAGTAGTGGAATCAGCTCACTTCCTTACAGGGGTCACTTTCTGCATGTGACCCCTGTCACACTAATTGTTTCGCTCAGCCAATTGGATGCCAGCTATCACATGTACAGTTGATGCCTATATTTTCGCGCCCAGCTCAGCAAAATAGCACTTCTTCTCTTCGTGGAACAAAATATTTGTTACTTATAGCCTGGATTTTTTCTTCATGAATTGGAATTTTTTGCTAAGCTGTAATGACGAGATCACCGTTTAGGAAGGGCTACCTTGATCTTCCAACTGCATGCAAGCCCTAGGCGTTTGAGTTTTTCTGGACAGACTTTCCACGAAGAGATTTTGCACCGCCGCTCTTGGTCGAACTTCGTCCTTGGAACATTGATCTACATTCGTGCAACCCTCGTCTCGAATGTCACTGCTTTCTCCACTTCTTGAACTTTCGATATCCTCTCGCATGTCCCGTCACTCTAGCCGTTTCGACTCTCTCGGCTGGCACTTCACAGTCAAGGTTCCTCTGCAGCAAATCATCTTAGCCCAGTGTGTCTTCCTTTGGGATCAGAGTTGCTCTCTCATGATTCAGGTGCGGTATTTTTCTGGTTTATCGATAGTTAACTTAATATTCTTATTATATTGTGCCTTGTTTTTGCAATATTGTGTGCATGTGACTGTAGTGAGAGCTTTGAGACATGGAAAGTTATTTTTGAGTTCACTTACTGTATTTTGAAGAAGGACTTGGCGCTGTGGCCTCTGAAATTCACTTTATTCAAGTCCAGGGGATTCAAGTATGCATGTCCGTGCTTTTATTATGCTCTTACTATGGAGTAAGAAAGAATACCGACTGTTAAAATCAAATCTGTGACGATTGGGTCTTCGAGGTTTTTTTTTTCAAATAATGGATTGATTTTCAGTTTTAATTCTTTATTCACACCTAACATATTATGAGTTGAGAATAATACATGACAGAAAATCATCAAGGTCGGTTTCATGCTTCGCACGTGCAGACCGCTCCTTTAAAAAAGCGCGTTTTACAGTATTCGAAAATCAGAAATTTCCTTCGTTCTCTGGATCATAAAGAGGAGTTATAAGCTAAAATTTTCAGGGATTACCACCTCCCGGGGCCTGGGGATCAGGACCCCAGAGAGAGGATTAGGACCTCTCTTTAGCCTGGTTGTTGTTGTGTGATAATGTTTTTATTAGGTGAGTCCTCTCGTTCGGAGCTCACCTTTCTTGTTGTGGTTGTCCCCAGGGGGCCTGGGAATTAGGATCCCAGAGAGAGGATTAGGACCTCTCTGTAGCCTGGGGACTTGATGAAAAAGAAGAAAAAATAAACAAACAAACATAAACAAAACAAAACAAAAACAAAAAAAACAAAAACAAAAAACAAAAAACAAAGAAAAAACAAAAACACACACAAAAAAACAAAAAACAAAAAAACAAAGACAAACAAAAACAAAAAACAAACAAAACAAACAAACAAAAAACAAATAAAAAATAAAAAAACAATAAAAATAAAAATAAAAAGATTTAAAAAAAAGAAACAAACAAAAAACAAAACAAAAAAAAATATGGTGGCTTGTTGCGGTTGTCCCCAGGGGGCATGGGAATTAGGATCCCAGAGAGAGGATTAGGACTTCTCTGTAGCCTAGGGACTTGATGGCTTGTTGTGGTTGTCCCCAGGGGGCCTGGGAATTAGGATCCCAGAGAGAGGATTAGGACCTTTCTGTAGCGTAGGAAAATAAAGTAGCTGACAAATAATTACACGGGACGAAAAAACGGATTTACAGAACGTCAAAGGTGAAGTCAAACGGGCGATAAAGGCCACCTTTGCACACCTTTGTACAACTTTGACGCGCGACAAATGTTTACCTTTGCCCGCGATCAAAGGCGAGTCTTCAGGCGATAAAGGCCGTTTTTGTCACGCCTTTAACCCCTACCTTTGACGCGCGTCAAAGGTATATTTCATTAGCATTTGTACCCCCATCAAAGGCGTCCTCAAATATGTCTGAGATTCAGGCCAAAGGTGTGACAAAAGCGCGGCAAAGTTATGTCTGTGATTTAAGTCAAAGGCTTGTGAAAAGTGTCGTCAAATGTGTCTGAACCTCAGGTCAAAGTTGTGACAAAGCTGTCGTCAAATGCGTCTGAGATTTAAGTCAAAGGTTTAACAAAGGTGTTGCCAAATATGTTTGTTTTTTTTCCTCCCCTCACATCGCGCCTCTCGCTCGTCTCGCGCTTCGCCTGAATTCCGCGTTCGCCTCGCGCTTCGCGCGAATGCCGCGTTATTGCCTTGCTAGTCATAAGCGCTTGATATACAGGCTAGAATCCAACTTGAGATTTCAATTAAATTCAATTGCGACCTAGATACCGTTTAAAAAGGTGGACAGATAAGAGACTGAGTTCTTAATCTTGTACTTTATTGTCCTAAAACCTCATTAGATGATTAGAAAGCTGAATAATTCCGATTAAAACTTAAACGCATAAAAATGATTTTTTAAAACCTTTTCACGATTTATTGTCTAAAGCACTCATTGCAGTCTGTCAATGGACAATCATAATGACTGCCGCAAATTTTTGAAGCACTATAAATGTTTTAGATAAAAGCTGTTGACACGGACGGCAACCTGCAAAATAGTTTAAAACAATTCTTTCACGCAAGCCAGTGCAAAAATCATCGTAAGTAAGAAATGTTCTTGATCAGGAGCCCATCTGTCTTGATGTTATCTTTGCGAAGATTTTCATTCTAGAGTGCTTTTGATTCTTGATGTAAGTGAAAGACAAACGCCATGTATCTAACTTCAGTCTTCCTCTGTTGTGTGTTTCGTTCCACTGGAGACTTATCACTTTGCTTGTTTCTTTTATCTGTGAAATAATTGTAAAAGAATATAGCAATTTGAGATAAAAAATTCAGTCATAGTGTTTTAAATAAAATTTTCGGCCCCACTCCCTTTTTACTATCGCTCCTTTTCTGCAGAAAATCCCCCTTTCTCTTTACCTTTATCAAAACTTAAAGACCCAGTTAAAAATGTGTAGCGAACCTAATGCTTTTGAATGGGAACCTTACATTTCGTGTACGTGCATTGTCATTAAGTTCGTCATTTGTGAAATTTGACGTTTGAATCGAGCCTTATTATCACTTAATAAGGTCCAGGAAAATTCAATAAAAGTTTCCCTCTATGCCCAAAGCTTAAGTTAAACTAAAGAAACACTTTATATTATAGCTAGCCTGCATAACAAGCGTTTCCAATAGAGTTA